TTTCAAAAGACGGCATTTTGAAAAAAATATCTTAGCCAAGTGTAGTGGTATGCACTGTACTCCTAGTCACTCGGGAGGCTGAGGCAGGAGGATCACTCGAGCCCAGGAGTTTGAGGCCGCAGTGAGCCATGGCTGTGCCACTGCACTCCAGCCTCGGTTAACAGTGAGACCGTCTCAAAAAATAAAAAATAAAAGTAAAGACTTCACGATGCTTACGTAAGAAAAATTCCCTCAGCAAAAGCAATTATTACTTGTACTTGACACAAAGGACTGAAACTCACTTCTACTTGAATGTGCCTACATAGTCCACCTTCCATCTTAGGCCATAAATCAACGTACAATACACTAAATTTAATTAAGTTTCAAGATAATCTAGTTTATCTCTCTAAAAACCAACCCATGAAAATTGAATTACAGGCAATTTAGAATCCTCTCTCAACTAGCCCCTCCATGGAAACTACAATTACTGTACAAAGATTTACCCTTACTTTCTGTCACACAGAAAACATTATTTTCTTTGAGTAGTTCATGTTAGCATAATTTGTAATAGTAATTGTTAGGTGCTGGCTTCAATATGCAGTGGCCATTTTTATAAAATTTATGTACACGATATATCTATTAATAGAAGGGTATACAACATTATAGTAAGGTTTCCCTGGGTAATATGATTTTAGGTCATTTTTCATTTCTTATTCTTCATCTGTACTTTTAAATTTCTTACAATGAATATGTACTACCTATAAAATTCTTCTGTTATTTTAGAAAGAAAATCCAAAAGCCTGAGAATTTAGTAAGGGTAAATAGAATTCATTAATTAAACAATCTTGAAAGGGGCCAGGTGCGGAGGCTCACACCTGTAATCCCAGCACTTTGGAAGGCCAAGACAGGCGAATCACAAAGTCAGAAGTTTGGGACCAGCCTGGTCAACATGGTGAAAACCCGTCTCTACTAAAAATACAAAAATGAGCCGGGCACGGTGGAGGGCTCCTGTAGTCCCAGCTACTCGGGAGGCTGAGGCAGGAGAGTCATTCGAACCCAAAAAGCAGAGATCACAGTGAACTGAGACCGCGCCAGTGCACTCCAGCCTCAAAAAAGAAAAACAAAACAACAACAACAACAAAAAACATGTTTTCAAATGCTATAAAGAACATGATTGGGTCAACAAACTAGAAAACCGACAACAAATAAAATCCAAGTATTGTATCAATGTTAAATTTCATTAGGTTGATGACTGTACTAAGACTTATGTCTTTGGCTCTTAGAAAATATATGCTGAAGTTCTCTGGGGTAAAGGGGATGATGTACGCACCTTACTCTCAAATAATTTGGCCAAAAATGCAATAATAGATAAAGCAAATGCTGACTAGAAAAAATGTTAACAATTCGTGAATCTGAGTAAAGAGTATGAAAATTGTATAATTTTTGCATTTTTTAATAAGATTTGAGACAGTCTTGCTCTGTCACCCAGGTTGGAGTGCAGTGGCGTGATCTTGGCTCACTGTAATCTCCACCTCCAGGGTTAAAGCGATTCTCCTGCCTCAGCCTCCTGAGTGGCTGGGATTACAGGCACGCGCCACCACGCCCAGGATGGAGTGCAGTGGTGTGATCTCACCTGACTGCAAGCTCCGCCTCCTGAGTTCACACCATTCTCCTCCCGAGTAGCTGGCACTACAGGCGCCCGCCACCACGCCCGGCTAATTTTTGTATTTTTAGTAGAGACAGGGTTTCACCGTGTTAGCCAGGATGGTCTTGATCTCCTGACCTTGTGATCCACCCGCCTTGGCCTCCCAAAAGTGCAGGCGTGGGCCACCGTGCCTGGTGATTAAAGTTATTTCTAAGTAAAACATTTTTAATTGAAAAAGTTTAAAAATCAACACATTCAAAATTGTTCTAACAAAAATACTTGTTAGAACAAGAATACTTGTTAGAATCATGTTGGGCCAACTTCTAGCAAGACTTTATTTGGAAAAATATATTTTAAAAATTGTGCTAATAAAAACATATGCAGGACCAACTTTAAGCAAAATTTTAAATCAGCACCATCTAACGGAAATACAATGTGAGCCACATATATAGTATTAAATTTTCTAGGAACCATATTAGCGTTAAAAGAAACAGGTGAAATTAATTTTAATGTTTTGTTTAGCCCATATCTAAAGTATTGTTTCAATTTAATCAATACAAAAATTGAGATTTTAATTTTTCTACTAAATCTTCAAAATCTGGTGTGTATTTTATACTTCCAGTACATCTCAATTAAGAAGCTAAATTTTCATCTTGATCTACATTTAGATTTCATAAAATGTACAGTTTAAAAGTAGATTCGCATAACAAAATTATTTCAGTTAAAAGTTTTCCAACCACTGAATCAGTTTTTAAATGTAAACTTAAATTAATTAAAATTAAATAAAATGAAAAATTCACTCCTCAGTCACACTAGTCACCCTACAGGCTCAATAACCACATGTGGCTTGTGGCTACACCCTAGGAAAGTCCGGCTTTAGATAGTAAAACAAATTCCCTCTACAAAAGGAGGAATTAACTGATAAAATTTAAGTTTATAGTATTTATCAAACGATTTTTAAAACGTAGTTATGATAAAAATAATGGGCAGGGTGCCGTAGCTCACGCCTGTAATCCCAGCAATTTGGGAGGCCGAGGCAGGCAGATCACCTGAGATCAGGTGTTCCAGACCAGCCTGGCCAACATGGTGAAAGCCTGTCTCTACCAAAAATACAAAAATTAGCTGGGCGTGGTGGCGGGCGCCTGTAACCCCAGCTACCTGGGAGGCTGAGGCAGGAGAATCGCTTGAATCCGGAAGGCGGAAGTTGCTGGGAGCCGAGATCCCACCATTGCACTCCAGCCTGGGACAGAGCGAGACTCCGTCTCAAAAAAAAAAAAAACAACAAAAAGACGATATTCCTATCAGAAGCACACCAAGGTTTCTCTCCAAGGTGCAATTAGACATCTCCCATACCACCTGTCAGAAATACCAACACAAAGCCTTCTCTACTCTGCCTCAGTTGTCATCCTTTAATCTGGATTTAAGTTTCCTGAAAATTGGCAATCAAATGGCCTTCTTTCTTTCAAATGTGGCAGAACACACTCAAGTTCCGGTTCTCAGGAGCCTAGTCATCTACCGCATAGTATGCGGGGTTTCAGCACAATACTGTCTCAGTCAGAAATGGGAGCATGCACACACGAGAACTTGTGTCGGATTTAAGAGAGGAAGTGACCCTGAGTCCAGAGGTGTTGTTTTTTTTTTTAAACAGGTGTAAGAGATTAATTCAGTGAACACCAAGCAACACTAAAGATTTGCCAATCAATAATTCTGTGCCAAGCAACTTGATCAGGGATTTGGCCAGAATCCCTTTGGCTAATCTCAATCAGGGCCTTCCCAAAGACATCCTGATTTAGGCCATTCTCATCTAAATTAAGCTTCGACAGTCCCTTGCCTGACAGCAAATAAACAAAATCAAATTATATTCATGTGAATAAAATTCTGATAGCTTGACAAAAGGCCCCTTGAAAGATCATTTAGTAAGTCTGAGCAAAAATACAGCTCCAAAGAACAGGAGGTACCATAAAATCATTTCTCAGAAATGTTTAATTCCTTTCTTCAGTCATACTTTTCAAGTGAACAACGCTGTGACTAACAATCAAATTTAATACACAACAACGAATTCTGTTATTATTTTTTCTCGCTGCACAAGTATTAACGAATTCTTTAAAACTGCGGAGTCCTTTACTGTGAATTCACTAATGCCTGAAATTACTCATACCAGTGGGAAGCGGGGTGCGAGTGTGAACGATGGTTTCTGACACCCGACCCACTAGTGAAGTCCCATCTTCCATACAAAATCCTTTATTTCTTCTCCCCATCTCACTCACCTAGCTGTTTTCATGCGACATCATATCAAGGATCACAGATACAACTCTGACCACTGTGTGGACACTGAAACAATCGCAATCCAAAATCCTCTGTAGATAAACGTTAACTATTTCTCCTTAAAGCTGAACTCCTTTCTTACCCTCACAGTCACAAAGCTTTAAACAGGATGAATACAAAGGTTTTAAGCCGTTCCATCAGAGAGGCTTTTTACTAGATTTATTTTTACCCGTGGAAATACTTGAACATTCTGTAGAAGTAAACACATTCTAAACCTGACGTCTTTAAAAGAAAGCTCCCAATTAATGCCTAATCAAATCCAGTCTTCAGGTCTCTCTGAAATTAGCTAAGTAGGCAGAAACCAATTGTAATTTTTAAAAGAGCGAAGAGGGAGAAGAAATAAACGACACCAGAACTACACATTCCAGTCCAGCAGTTCAAGCACTACTTCGAGAAGGGAAGTAAAGATCAAG